GAACTTTCCGCCTGTGTTGACAACTGGTGCACGGAAAGAAAAAAAAAAGATTACCAGTAGGTATGTAAAAGTTTCTAGTATCCCTGTGTAACTGAAATTCACACATTTTCAGTGCAGTTACATTCTAACATTTACACTAGAATTATGTCCAAAAAAAATCCCTCACCTCATCCTTGCAACCCGACAGAGCAAGTAATCCACCTGTCTTCGTTTAGCAATGAATACGCTTTACTGAAAGATGGTTTGATTACTGGTACAGAGAAACACATTTTCAATATGTGAGTCCCCCCCCCCCCCTTTTCTGCCCAACCACACCTAATTTACCACACAAGTTAGACTGTTAAGGATTTTTTTACAGCATGAGTAACCATCAAGTTGTCCAAGTCAGGGATTGGATTTCCCATTTATTTGTCAATCTGTATTAAATTTAAAAATTTTTTTTAGCGTTTCTGATAAGTTGTTTAACATAAAGAACGAATAATATTTTTTTTAAACAAGCATATACAAATCATACTATTGATCTGCTTCACCCCCTACTGCTTGCCTACGCATCCCCACTCCCTCCTTCTCATCACCCCTCACCTGTGTTTGTCCTCCTACCCAAGACTGAAATGGCCTTCGTCGGTACACACGTCATAGCCAGGAACACGTGACAGTCGCACAGTCCGGCCATGACTGACCGAGTTCAAATAGTTCGGATTTACAAAAAAAAAATGCCGACTTCACAAAGGCCGCCGCCCGGAGGAAAGAATCTGGAACAAAACAAAATACTGAGAAGCGAAAAACCAAAAACCTGGGAGGAACCAGAAAATACTGGATTGGTACGAACTGTAGGGAAAGCTTTTCTGTGTCAATATGGGCTCAAACCAAACTGTCACACAAGGCTCCAGTTTGAACTTGCACTAGGTCACAGATTAATGATATGCATGAGGTATTTTGAAAAGAAAAACCGGCTGGCTAGTCAACGTGAAACGCATTTACTGGTGTATTTGATGACGTCATTTGATACCATGCTGGAGTGGCCACTATTAAAAGACTTAGAAGGGACCTTCTGTGCCATTTCACTCTGAAACCTGGTCGTAGGGAGAACACCAGTAGACTAGAAGGTAATATTTATTCGCGCCTATTAGCGACAGTGTGAGTTAGTTATCTTTGAATTCCTCTTACTGGTAAGTCATCAAAGTTGTTTTAGTGATTTTAGTAAGAAGCGAATAAAAAAAAAAAGTCCTGATCAAATGCACGCACAGGAAAATATTATCAACAATGAGTCTTCAGTTTAAACAAGGAGATAGCATCATATGCACAGTGCTAGAAAAAAAATTACCCTTTACTTGATTACGTACATGCACAAGAGCTTCAGTATGCAAAAGCACGATATCTATACCATAGGGCTCACGAAATATAAATGTGAAGTTTACTATATAAATCATGATACTAAGCAGGGCTTTTTAAATTCTGGAGGTACGGAATGGTGCACAGTATGGGCACCTTTATATGCATCATATTTTCAGGGCTACTATAATAGACACGGTGGTGAGTATTGGCATGTTTTTTTTTAGACACTAAGTGGTGAGCGCCGGCACTTTTATTTTGTTTCTCTAGTTAAAATGATGATGTTGAGTAATACTGCTATATAATGTGCGCTTTTCTCAAACGCGAGAAGAGGTAACTTGAAGGCAACGAGTTCAACTCTAGAACATCGCAACTGTTTTATAGTCGTCAAAATATTTTGTGATAGGCACTTTTTCTGTTGAACATCTCTAACATTAGGAAATTATCCAGTGTGTTTTCTTCTTCTTCTGCTTTGCGTTTACCGACTGGCTTAAACTTCGGCGGAAAGTTCTGATTGTTCGTTCATGTCTGGTCTTATTCCAAATCGTAGATGTTGTGTGAAAATCCGTTTAGCAAATATGACCTATTTTTATGCAGACTGTTGGTTCCTCACCTACCAGGCAGAGGCACGCCGACTTCGGAGGAAACGATTAATTAGTCGACTTTTACGACATGCTTGTCGGGAAGCAGTGTGTCTATTCTTGTTTTACTTATAATTCGGCGCCGGATTCCCCTCAGGAAAATGTGTTATCGTAAATATAACATCATAATAACTGCATGGCAGTATGGGCAAATTAGATATGCTGATTTCACTTCAACTTTGGGAAAGCATGGTCGAAAAGAAATTAGGAAAGGAACTGATCAATACTGCATGTGTAAGGCTCGTGCTTTGAGCTCAGACCTACTTTTACATTATCTAGTGAGTTATTTGGTTGCATAGGCATTATTTTATAAAGTCTGGTTTGTTTTCTTGTTCTATATCTTATCTTTTTCTTCTTTAATAAAGCAAGGTATTCAGTACGACAGGTTACATTTTTTACTCGCTGTGTCTAGGAATCTCTCTCTCCCTCTCTCTCTCTCTCTCTTTTCGCCATTCCGTTTCTTTTTCTCTATCTTACTTTATCAGTATTGGCACATCTTGCTCTGGTTCCTCTATTCTTCATTCTCTCAATCACCTCTGTTTTTTGCGTGTTTCCGTGCCTTTCTCTAGCTCATTATGTATGTGTGTGTTTCGTCGTTAGCGAGGTAATAATATTTGTTTTAAACTGATTTTTTTGTTGATGAACTTATCACATTCTAACCCGAGAATTCGAAACTTAACCGACCATCCCGAACTTTTCTAGGTAATGTATTTTCAAATTATTAAACTGCTTAGTTTATTTAAAGTTGTCTTGCAGGGCATCTTTTGAAACCCGAATTACTTTAAGTAACCATTGACGTAGAAATAGATATATGGAAAAAACAAGAAGCAGAAATTAAAAATAAATAAACATTTGTTTTATCCACACCCCCCCCCTTTTTTTTTCCCACTGGTGCGCGTGGTCTGACAAAGCTATGTAAATTATTTGATTATGTCCCTTTATTTGAACGTTCCTTGCGACAGTCCTGGCAGTCATCCGACCAGAGATTAAATTAATCACGCGAAAGTGGCCACTTCATACCGTAGAAAACTGTAGTTGGGAAAGCTAAACAATCTGATTAAATCTTACTTAAGTGGTAGTGCAAGTTAATTAATAAGTTAAGTAAAATTAGGAGAGAGATAAGAAAATATTAAATGGAGGAGAAGAAGAAGGGTTTAAGGAAGAAGTGGAAGAAGAGCTGTTTGAAAGTCAATAGTCCTTATCCATCCATTATTTTAAAGAGTGTAAAGGTAGTTTTTTTTCTAAACTGATGCCCGGTTTCTCTCTGTTGTAGTTTTTAGACGATTAAGCTGTACTTAATCATATAGCCAGCATTTGGGAAGCCAATAATAATAAGCAGTTGTATCGAGACTGATAATGGTAGTCTGTAATTTGTTAATATATCGTTCCACTCATGGGTTGCGATGCCTCATTTTAGGGCTGCAAAAAGGAAAATGAACATACCCACTTTCTCCCCCCTCACCCCACACAAAAAGCATTTCGTAAAGACTGGTTAAGAGCTGGTTATTTTCTGAAAGGTATAGATATCGCAGGTTAGCTGTAAACTATAACACAATCCAGTACCCGATTTAAACCGTGAAAGCAGAATAGGAAGACATTACCACTTAATGATCCTTAATTGACAATTTATGTCCCCAAAAAAAAAGTAGACATTTAGAGGTAGAATTATAATTAATCGTTAGTTTGTGCCCATATTTGTTTTTATCTGGTGTCAGATTCTGCAGGGGGATTTTATTAATACTAGTTTTTCGGGCGATCATTTTTTTTACAGTCAACCGCTTGCCATTTACCAGATCAAGAGCTAGATTTTTTTCAATTATTCGGTTAGTGTGCAAATCTGGGTTACTTGTGTGCAGATCTGCCTTATTTGTATGCAGATATGGCTTATTTGTGTGCAGATCTGGCTTATTTCTGTACAGATCTGGCTTATTTGGTGCAGATCTGGCTTATTTGTGTGCAGGCAGTTGTCAGATGCACTCAGACTTTGAAGAAAACGCCGACTATCCCATCTACGTTGCCATCAGCAACCTGCCCTAATATCAAATACAAAGTTTGAAAAGTGTGCACCGATCTTTCAATTTTTGCCCTTATAGCAACACTGTGAATATAGAGGTTCCAGAAAGACCGAAGAGTTACTAATGTCTTAAAAAATAAAAAAAAAAAATAAAAAAACACGAGATGAAGACATCGATAGAAGTGGATGGAAATCACCAGGTGAATAGCAGTGCAAGAGTGTAAACTAACAAGACAAGAGACGGGAAGACTTGGAGGTACATTGCAACTAAGCTTCACTGTGAAGACCGCATGTGATTGACTCTTCCCCGTTCCCCAACCTCCACCCCCATTATATCAATACACGGTTAGAAATCGTTTAGCTATTTCATGTTAAATTTAACGTAGGGATGTTCTAATAAATTTCAGTTTAATTACGTGGTAGCAACGTATTCAACTTCCAACTACCAAATGGTGCTATCGTTTGACAAGTCCACACTGACCATCTCATTACTTTTACAATTCCCCCTGTGGGTTGTGGTGCCCTATTATAGGACCCATTGCCTGCCCATAAGCATGTCGTAAGAGTCGACTAATTGGGGATTCGGAGTGCATGTGCCTGAGAGGCAAGGAACCAGCAGTCTGCATACAAATGAGTCAGATCTGGTGAACGTGAAGAATGAAGAAGAAGAATTACTTTTACAACATGAACAGTTGGTAGTGTTTATTTATCATGACATGACCAACCCACTCTTCTTTGTGTTTTTCATATAAAGTAAAACCTGAATAATACAAACTCGTTTAAGATTATTCGGTTAACACGAACACAATTTTAGTTAGGGCAGGTTTGGGACAAACGTGTCTAACACAAACTCTTTTCATTTTCAATCTCTCGGAATTCGTGTTAATGAGGATTAACTGTATAATGTACACAACAAGACAGATATGTTTGTTGTTGCGTGGTTTTTTAACGTGTTTGTTCTAACAAATTTTGATTTTAATTCCCAGGTGTAAATCGTCTATCGCCATCCCAAAATGTCTACCATGTCATTCTTCAATGAAACCATGGCCACTGTGGCGCCGCCAACAACTCGGTACAAGACAGTTCTTGAAAGCAACTTGGATCAGATGTACATGATCCTCATGGGTCTTTTAATTCAATGTAAGTATCCCCTATTATTGTTGAGCTTTGGGAGAGATTTGAACAAATTCCAGCGAATGAATTGGTGAGGGCAAGACGCTGGCATTGGATAGGACACAGGTCTAGAAAAACTAATATAGCTAAAAGGGCTTTACACAGGAACCCCCCATGGGCATAGAAATAAAGCCAGTCCAAAAAGAGACACAGTAAAGTTAACCACAGGGTTAAATTAAACATGTTGGGGAGGACATGGAAAGGTGCATGTTATAGCAAAGGGCAGGATAGCCAAAGCTGGTTTAGTGGCTATGCTTCATTGGGTGAGGAAGTACTAAACTGTATGTGTTTGGCGCGCATCTGTTTTACATATTTGGATTATTTGTATGTTGTTTCTTTTTCGCTCAGGTAGATGCACTTTCACCAAGGAGGAAAAAGAAAAACCCTTGCTATACGCCTTTTACGACATGCTTGTTTACGGGTGGAATAAGATGTCTATTCTTGTTTGCCTCAAAATGTTATCCTGAAACTCAAAATAGTGTCGATTCTAAGCTCTAAAAATATGTGCAGGAGCACCATATGCAATCACAGCGTAAATAAGCTCCATTTACATTTTTCTTTTCAATTTTTACACATTGAAATAAATATTTTTACTAATTATAATTGAAATGTTAATAAATAATGAGCTTCCAACATAACACATGGTTTCTTTTATATATTTACATCAGTGATGCAGTGCGGTTTCGCTTTCCTAGAGGCTGGTGTTGTGCCCAGTGTAAACACAACCAACATTGTCATGAAAAACGCCCTGGACGCATGTAAGTATACAGGGTATCCAAGTTTCCATATAACATTCTTATTTATTTGAATATGCTCTGTATGGCTACTAGTGTTTTGAAAATACATTTCGTTTGAGGTTTTGAACAACGGATCAATATCATGACACAAGGCTAGTAACCAATAAGCACTCGGTTCTTCTTCTAACTCAAGTCTCAGCCCTAGAAAGCTCAGCACAGTGCAAGGCTCTGTGGCACCGGCGAGGATCCTTAAATACTTTGAGTAGATTTTAAACTCCAAATTTTGCCCGGGCTGCGCCGTTAGGCTACTCTTTCGAGTTTTTTACTGCTAAGGAATTTTTTGAGTACTCAACAATGCACACGGGCGTCTGATTTCACTACCCAGAGAATTACTAGAAGTCCAAGTTCACACGAAAAAATCCCAGCCCACCGAGGATTGAACTCGGAACCTCTAGCACTCGGAGGACACCATGCCTCGAGACCACGCAGACAACCCATAAATTTAAATGAGTGTTATCCATTGTTGAAGTATGCACATAAACAAAGCCACCAGAGTAATGCCTGTAATAGATTTCAAACACATGGACAAGACAATATATATATATATATATATATATATATATATATATATATATATATATATATATATATATATATATATATATATATATATATATATATATATAAACAACAGTTTAGTTCCTGTTACCTGGTTTTTGACACAGAGCAAACGATATTGAGTCGATAGTTTTTACTACCTAAAATGTTATTCCGTGTTAAGGGTCTTTTACTTATTTTCTAGGGACCCGTCGTGGTTAGCAGCTAGTCGCTTGTTTGCGGATCGGAAGGCTTCAGGTTCAGGACGGAGCCTAAATATTTTTTGTTGTTGTAATTACCTTTGTTCCCAGGTCGACCCTGGTTTAAATGAGTACCAGGTAAATCATGGGGATTAAAGGCGACTGGTGTGATGTTGACCACATCAAACCCCAAGTATTGATTGGTATATGTCTAGCCATATGTGCCCAATAGACCTGAGTTCAGGGGAAAGCGTCCTTTAGTGTTACTCTTTTTTTTAACCTAATTTGTGGCTAAATCGTTGCGAACGCTTCGTAATGCCGGGATGTCGGGTTCAATTCCAGCTGCGGGCCATGCGCCTTGCGTTGGTTTCGAAAGTGGTATCAAGAAAGTTGAAGGTCCAGAAAGCAATGACAAACTACTGGACGTAAATTTGCCTCGAAAAACCACACAACAGCCAAGGGCTGTTGGGGTTGGTTCTGCAACGTCCTGTAATGTATACGCAACTAACTAACCTTCTAACCTAATGGATTTGGTTAGTTCGTTACGGTATTGTTTAACAGCCAATAGCATACTGAATACTCCTAATCAGTCATTTTCCTCATCTAGGTATTGCAGGAGTGGCCTACTGGTTGGTCGGATTTGCCTTTGCCTTTGGTCCGGGCAACAATTTCATCGGCTGGACCTACTTCGCCTTGGCCTACCATCCAGACAATGAACTAGCCCACGTCTTCTTGGAGCTGGTCATTGCGGCTACGTGCTCCACTATCGTGTCTGGCTCTGTAGCTGGGCGCTGCAAGATGATTGCTTACATCATCTACAGTTTCGTTATTACAGGTAATTATCTTAGTTTTTATTCACAACAGGGTCGCACGAAGAGGAAAGGGAGTAGCAACATTCTCATGTATCTTAAGCGCTCTTAAAAATTATATGCTGCAGGGGGCGGAGCGCTTGTGTCCGACATCTAAAAGGACGAATGCAGAAGAAAAAGGAGAAAAGGAAGGGGGGTAATTTAGACCCTTCCCCCACCCCAACAGTATCTTCTATTGGTTATATTTTCATTTGTAACCATGCTTCTTATACTTTTAACTTGTTCTATGCAGTTGTCAGAATTTTAAAAACGTTTGTTTTGTTTGTCCGCCCGTTTAGGCTTCATTTATCCAATAGTTACCCGTTGGGTATGGAACCCCGATGGATGGTTGATCAGTGGCCAGATGTACAACATTACTGGCGTGCCGGAGATCATCGGCTTTTATGTAAGTACACAAGTCTGAAGTTTAAACATATCAGCATCATGGCACACGGATAGTAACCCATAAGTACTCCGTTTTTTCTCAAGTCTGAGTCCAAAAAAGCTCAGCATAGTGCAGAGGCTCTGTAGCACCGGCGAGGATCCTGAAATACATTTGGTAAATTTTTAACTCTAAATTTTGCCTGAGCAGGGCCGGTAGGCTACTGCTATCGATTTCTACCTCCTAAGGGATTTTTTTAATGTGCGCAACAATGCACACAGGCTTCTGATCTGACTACCCTGAGACCAGGGGAAATAGTAGAAGACCAAGTCCAGGTGAAACAATCTCAGCCCCTACCGGGTATTGAAAACGGAACCCCTAGCACTCGAGACAATCTTATCTATTGTCATATTGAATTAGCTGTGATAAAGTTTAGCACCAAGCAGGCACTAAAATAGGAAATAGAAGGACCGATGAAGCGAGGACGTCCACAAGACACTCTAACACAAACGTTAATGAGAAAAGCAAGGGCAGACTGAATTCTATCCATGATACTGAAAAGTTTGTAGAGGATAGAGTGCAATCAAGGAATTTGAATGTGAGCTCTATGTCAAATATAATGGGGCAATAAAGAAATATTTATAATAAATGAAGGAATGAAAGAGGCACACCAGAACCCAACCCCCCCCCCCTCCTCCACAACCTCCCCGTTGATTTAGTTGATTCCCCACCTGTTCTGTTGCACAAATAATTATGATATGAAGATAAGACTAATGTTAACATGTTGCTTAGTGATAAAGAATTTACATCCTTGACGTTAGTTTTATATTTTGAAGAATTAAATAGTCTGTTTAGAAAGGTCAGCTTTTTAAGAGCATTATCTTTGCAACCATAGCATGCATAACATGACATTAAGTAAACATTAATGACACTTATTTATGCCTTTATGTGTATGTGGCATATAGGGCTAGACCTATATTTTATAGACAATCTGCACTCGGTGGGTGACGTGGTCAAAATCACACCCACCGTCTTTACTTCCCAGGACCCTACCTGGTACCCATCTAAGGCTAGGTCGACCTGGAAGTCAGTCATGTTTGAAAATTGTCCTGCTCCGTATAAAATTGTATGCATCCTTATATTTCCAATTCCACTGTGATTTCATAATTGAATTGACACGTATACAACACAGGATTTCTCTGGAAGTGGAGCTGTACATCTTTGTGGAGGAACTTCAGCTCTCGTGTCTGCCGTCATTCTTGGAGCCCGTATTGGACGCTTCGATAACGGACACGAACTTCCCCCTCACATGAAAGGTCACAATGTTCCGGTTAGTATTCATACACGTGTAATGTCTTATTTCAATAACTGTCATTATTACTTGATGCCTTTTTATTCCCCTCACCCCCTCATCCAGGGCAGCATAGAATGTCATCAAACTCGCTCCAGGGGTGCAAGAACCTGGAGACCCCAGAAAAAAATTAAGGCTGCCCCACTCGCCCCTCCCCCTAAAAATGTTTGAGGTGAAGGGCGCTCCCTCCCCCCCACCCCCTCTTTTGTTTCCCTACCACCCCTACCATATATAGAAGTTCTCTTTTTTTTAAGCATATACTGATGCTTTTCATGTTATTTCAAACACATATTCAATTGTCATTCAGCACGTGATAATCATTATATGTATCATTATTACGCAGTTAAACAAGGCTTCGGCCACTTAAGAGCACCCCACACACACACTGCAGTGTACAAGTTTATAATGGTGATTAATACCCCACCCCCTTTGTTTTTTTTTTCTTACCTCAAAGTGTTTCTTGTCCCAAGCCTCTGATTGATGCCCAGTCGTTTTAACCTCTGCATTTGCGTGAAGCTCAACCTAAATTTTTCATTATTTTTTACACCTCATTTTGAGTCTTTTTGCAATGTTGTTTTTACATAACTTTATACAGGTATTAAGGAGTGCTCGATTCATGAAACTGGCAGAGCGTTAAAATAATTACATCTATAGGGTATTCGATTTATGGCATTGGATTTAAATTCGAGACCTGCATCCTGTATTCATAACCAGGTCCCAAAATAACTAATTCATCAATCACCAAAACAAGACGACTGACTGAATTAACCGCAATTCATAAAACACTAAGGGTCGCAACTGGTTTATGCCAGTTACCTTTCATAAACCATCTACACACTATAAGCGCTAGTCTGGACTATTTTGGGCCTTTCAGAAAAAAAAGAAAAAAAACCCCATCTTTTTAGAACGAAATAAAAAAAAACTGTATATATAACTGTGACACAAACAGGGCACTGTAGCGTACCTTTGTGACCTGCCTTTTAGGCTGTATAATTTTTTGCCCGTAAATTGAAGATACATTATTCATGGCTTTGACTCACAAAAATGCGATCACACACTATGCGATGTTTGGGACAGCCATAAAAGAAATAAATACAGACAATAATGACGATATACCCTAGTGGGTTCCAGTGGAAGAACAAACCAATTAATATTATTTTCAAATTTTCCTTTCGTTTATTATATACAGCCCCTGTGTGTTTGTTTTGGTTGTTCATCTGTTTGATCAACTTACTTTTCAAAATTTTAATGTTTTTCCACTTCCAGTACGTAGGCTACGGTGCTATGATTCTTTTGATCGGCTTCATGGCATTCAACGGTGGATCGGTTATGTCTGTCTCCAAAGAAGGAGATGGAGCTGCAATGAGTTTGTCCATTGTCAACACGATGATTTCTGCAGGATGCGCCGGTTACACTTCCCTCTTCGTTCGCAAGTGAGTGTCCACATATTTGTAAAATGTGTACTTAAAATTTTCATGTTTCTGCTACTATGCTCCAACAGTACAGAAACTACAACTGATTTTTCTGTAAAATGTGTACTTCATATTTTCATGTCTCTGCTACTATGCTCCAACAGCACAGAAACTACAACTGCTTCTTTTGTAAAATGTGTACTTCATATTTTAATATTTCTGATTCTATGTTCTAACAGCACAGAAGCTGCTAATGCTTTTTTATTCCTCGTTTGCTCTAATTTTTTTTTGTTTTTTTTTTGCGTTGAATCCCAAACTTATCTTTCGCCTTCTGCTCCTCCTTTGCAAATTTCGAACATACACCCACAGCCATTTCTTGCTCCATATATTGTATTCCTAAACTGAATAAAATAGTTTAAAAGACTTTTACTTGAAGGCAAACGGAAAATTTCCACCTAATTAACGATAGCCCACAGACTTAACTTGTTACCTCTGTTCTCAGTAACTTGCAACTGTGCAACTCATACATGCAGCGAGCATGCATTCTAAACGTGTATGCATTAAACAAATTTTTTACTGGTTTAAGTCAACCATGGCATCTCATAAGGAACTGAGCTAAGACATACAATATTGTGAGCTACATTATCCACAACCCGGCCACACCTACACACTACAGGGCAGAAGTGGGTGGAGGGGGGAGATTATTCTGGTAGATGGTCAGACCCTTTGACCCTCTCTCCAGCCCATAACCACACCCACACACCACAGTGCAAGGGGAAACATTATGCAGACAAAACTGGGAGGGGTCAAACCCTCTGACCCCGCTACACACCACAGTGCAAGGGGAAACATTATGCAGGCTAAACTGTGGGAAGGGGTCAAACCCTCTGACCCTCCCCCCCCCTAATACCACACCCACACACCAGAGTGCAACGGGAAACATTATTCCGGCAAAACTGTGGGAGAAAGAGTGGTTGTCAAACCTTCTGACCTTCCCCCTCAGGAAAAACAGGAGGGTTGATGTCTTTCCATAATAATTTTGCATGGCTGCTAGAAAGCTCCAAATTATATTTACAATTTAACACATTATTATTAATATGCCGAATAGCAAATAAGTACACAAGTATACTTAAATTAATATGAAATGTGCAAACAGATATACATGGTTAAGAAGGATCTGTTACCATACACAGTTATTGGATGGAAGGGTCAGTCTCCCACCCCTTAAAAATTGGGGGGGGGGGGGGTGGAGAGCGAGGATGAGTGCGGGATTAAGGTTCTGAGCCCCTGCTTATGCTAAAAAAGATTCTCGAAGCTGACATAAGGATTATAACAGTTAATCAACTTTAAGATAGCTAAATTAACTTTCACCTCTGCTTTCAGTAATATTGACCAACACACTAACGTTATGAGTCAGCTAGTACTGAAAAATGAATCCGTTATTCAAGTTGACATACATTTTATAGTGCTTTCATACTGAAACTAATTCGCCCCTGGGTAATCATTACCGGTACATCGTATGAGGGTCAGACATAAGATATAAATAGATACACCCACATGCGTTTAACCTGTAATGTTGCTAGCCTGGTTTTTTAGTACCCGTTTTGTATTTAATACTGCAGGTGTATTATTTTATGGTTTTTGATCAGAAGGAGAGTTTGAATGGGTTGACACCGGCTGACCAAAACCAGTGTAGACTGGTGCGAACAGGCATTAGTAAGTAAGCAAATGGCCCTTTTCACACCTTAAGGCACACTGAGCATAACTTTGAAATTTGCACTCTGCGGGTGCAACAGGTATGACTATCTTTTCTATAAGGGCGCAGCAACAAAGCGACACCTGCAAAAGGCCAATGTTTAATAAGAGACGTGTAGGTAGGCAGTGTACGACTCAGGAAAAAAGAAACCTTTTCATAACAGAAGCGAGCACTCGATGATTAACACCTATTTTTATACATCAGTCAGTACTCGTGGATGATATGATTAAATCACACCATGCCATCCGCATTTATTACCAAGGACATTACCTGCTTGCTAGCCATTTTAGGCTGGGTCAACCTGGGAGCCACGCTTATAAGATAACTGCATTGAATAAATTCACTAATGCTGCTCCCCGTGTGGGCTCTGGGGCCCTATTACAGAAAAAACATGAATAGAACGACTGCCTACTCAAAAGCATGTCGAAATAGTCGACTAAATGGGAGCTTCCTTCAAGGTCGGAGTGCATGTGCTTGAGAGGCAAGGAGCCAGAAGTCTGCAAAACGGATGCGCTCGCAACACTCAGGTTCTGGAACAGGACTGCAGTCCGAAAGTTGTTTAACAGCCAAAACTATGCGCCAGAGCTGATGAACTCGAACAGGAAGAATGAATGCTGCAGCTGTTTGAAAAATTAGTGAACTTAGTACAATGTACCCCCTCCCCCCCTCTCCCACCCTATCTGGGCTCCGCAGCTATAGTGTGGAGAAAACAAAAACAGCCCACTGCCTGCCCAAAAGAATGTCGTAATAATCGACCAATAGGGAACTTTCTCTAAAGTGGAAGTGCATCTGCTTGTGAGGCAAGAAAGCAAGTCTGCATACAAGTTAGTCTGCTCTGTAAAACGAATTTGCAACGGATAACTTTACAGCCGGTAAACGCGAAGAAGATGCAGAATTAGACAATATACAGAGCCTTTCTTCATTCATTTGTGCGTAGACTGTTGACTCCTTAGCTCTCAAGTAGACGTACTACAACTTTAAGAGAGAGCTGATATTATCTCCACTGACCAGCCCTCACCCACCTGGAGAGAATCATCGCAAACTTGGGAACCAAATTAGTGCCCTCTAGTGCCCTTCAGAAACTATTTCACTTTATGCTTTCTTGTCATTCCAGAATAATATTTCCCAATCACAAATGGAGTGTGTTCAACACAGTTAACGGGGCCGTTTGCGGCATGGTACGTAACACGCTTTCTTATTTGTTACATTAGTTTTTGTGTAAAACACTTATAATTTTATCTAAATGCCATCTACCCATACGCTTTTCTCTCTGGCAAACAATCACAAATCTATCCACCCGCACCTATCTACGAGGCAGATGCAGACCAAGGTTAAAGGAATTTCGTCAGTGAAATTACGAATCCTGGCAAGGCACATGATAATAATGATGATAATGCTCATACCTATCTACCCTTTGACCTTTTTAACTGCTGAAAAATGTCTGTCTGTGACATGTCTGCATAGCTACCTACGCACGCACACATACATACAGACACACACATTTATATATACGCGTAAAAAGGTAAAATGTATCCTTTTCCTGCCTTTAGAAGTATAGGGCATATAGGCGTATAGTGCATATAGGGCTAGACCTATATTTTTTATAGACCAATCGGCACAAGATGGGTGATGTGGTCAGCATCACGCCAGCCGACTTTAATTCACAGGACTGCACCCGGTACCCATTCAAGGCTGGGACGACCTAGGAGGCAAGGTCATTTGTGAAGAAAGTAGGCTCTGCCAGGACCTTCCGATCCACACGCGAGCGTCTAGCCGCTACGCCACGGCGACTCCCTATACGCGTATATCCTATGGAGCATATATCCATACACCAGCCCAGGCAAGGTCATCACATGATTCCCTATTTCCTGCCGCTCATCGTGTGCACTTAACTTCTTCTCATTCTCCAATTGTCCCCTTTGTACGTGTCTGGATGTCATTTTTTTTCATTTCATTTTCCGTCCGTTTATTACAGAAAGAAGTGTTCAAAATGCCTATAGATCATGAATTGCTCCATTCTCCAGGTGGCCATCTGTGCATCCTGCAACTGCGTCAGACCGTGGGCAGCCCTAGTGATTGGTGTCATTTCTGGATGTTGCTTCAACGTGACCGCCTGGCTTGTGGCTAAATCCAAAATTGATGACCCTGCAGACTCCGTCGGCAGTAAGCAAATTTACATATTGGCAGACAGACTGAATCTTTCTTCTGATTCTTACTTTTCTTCTTCTTTATTTTCTTCTTCTTCTTCTTCTTCTTCTTCTTCTTCTTTTTCTTTTTCTTTTTCTTTTTCTTTTTCTTTTTTTTTTTCTTCTTCTTCTTCTTCTTCTTCTTTCTTCTTCTTCTTCTTTCTTCTTCTTCTTCTTCTTCTTTCTTCTTCTTCTTCTTCTTCTTCTTCTTCTTCTTCTTCTTCTTCTTCTTTTCTTCTTCTTCTTCTTCTTCTTCTTCTTCTTCTTCTTCTTCTTCTTCTTCTTCTTCTTCTTCTTCTTCTTCTTTCTTCTTTTTTCTTCTTCTTCTTCTTTTTTCTTCTTCTTTTCTTCTTCTTCTTTTTTTCTTCTTTTTTTCTTTTCTTTTTTCTTTTTCTTTTTCTTTTTCTTCTTTTTTTTCTTTTCTTCTTTCTTCTTCTTTCTTCTTCTTCTTTCTTCTTCTTCTTCTTCTTTCTTCTTCTTCTTCTTCTTTTCTTCTTCTTCTTCTTCTTCTTCTTCTTTTCTTTTGTTCTTTTCTTCTTCTTCTTCTTTTTTCTTTTCTTCTTTTTCTTTTTCTTTTTCTTCTTGTTTTTTTCTTTTTTTTCTTCTCTTTTTCTTCTTCTTTCTTCTTCTTCTTCTTCTTCTTCTTCTTCTTCTTCTTCTTCTTCTTCTTCTTCTTCTTCTTCTTCTTCTTCTTCTTCTTCTTCTTCTTCTTCTTTTTTCTTTTTCTTTTTTTTTCTTTTTCATTCTTCTTCTTCTTCTTCTTCTTCTTCTTCTTCTTCTTCTTCTTCTTCTTCTTCTTCTTCTTCTTCTTCTTCTTCTTCTTCTTCTTCTTCTTCTTCTATCTTCACCGCCTGTAAGCCTCTTTTTTTTTGGACTATCTTTGGTCTTTGATCTTGTTTCAGAAGCTGAGTTTTGCATGCACATCCTTTTTAACAGATGAAGCTTATTTGTATGCAGACTGTTGGTTCCGCGCCTCTCATGTAGATGCGCTCCAACTTCGAAGGAAACATATCTACTTAGTCGACTCAACATCGCGCTTGTTTTCGGTTAGGTTTTCTATTCTTCTCTCCACACTTCCACACACACTCACAAACACACATATACACACACATATGCACACACACACAATGGTGTCCGGGCAGGGCGCCAACACAGGGAAGTAATTCTTCTAATACCATAAACGTTTCTTTGAAAATGCCAAATGACACTTTGAGTGTGCATTGGGAATGTGGCGATGGCATGACTTTTAACTAAATAAAAACTGAGTGTAAACACCGTTGGCAACTGTTGCTGCTGATACAGGTGACTTAACACCCAGATGGAGCTCAGTCATCTTGAGGCCCTCCTCGCTCCCGCATTGTTTTTAAAAGAGGTTGATCCACCGCCCCTGCTCCCTTACCACCCCTCCTCCTATATTTATGGTTGTTGGCACCTCTGTTGGCTGCCTTATGCATTTACTTGGTGTGCATGTTTCTGGATTTTGACTTATTATTATTTAAATAGGACAGGTAGGGGCAATTTGCTGACACGGAACAAAGTTCATATTATTTTTAAGGGTTCCCCAAGGTGCCCTATCCCGGGTAGACCCAAGATGTCTTTATCCCCTAGGTTATGGATGGTGATGATGATAATATTGATTTCAACAACAACAACAAAAACTTTCTCAGCAGTAAATGGAACATTATTGTTAAAAGAAATAAAATTCAATACGAGTCCTCTACTTGACGTTGCAGAATCAAACGCAGCATTTGTGTTTGGCTGTTTGTAATTTTACTAGGCAATTTTAATGTCCAATAGCTTGCCATTGCTACTGAATGGTTGGCTCTAAACACTGTTGCTGAAAACAAAGCAATATCATCTCCTTTTAAACGGCCAGAAGTTGGAATCGAACACGGTACCTAGGAGCTACAAGAAGTGTTTGCAACGCCTACGCCACATATTGATAAAATATTTAAAAATATGTAAAGTACACATATATTCAAGTAACAAATATAATCTCGCGTCTATACCGCCAAATAAGTGGTTTGGAAACCCAACAAGAATGTCCTGGTACTATCTACCACAGCAAGCAACACTAAAACATTTCAACAGGTAGAGCGAGTGGAAGATCTCGGAAAAAATGGAGTGATGGCATTAAGAACAGCCTTACAGAAATTAACATCAGTCCTTATTGTTCTCTTGACAGAGCTCATCAACGAACGTTACATCCCCCTCCCACACCCCTTTCTCCGACACTTCACTGACATGAAAGAAGAAGAAGAAGAAACAAATATAGTTTACTGTGTATTTTTTTAAGTGTATTTTTTAAGCAGTAATGAAAAATAAATTTCGTTTTCTGTATTCACTAGTTCACTTCTCCGGTGGAATATGGGGTCTAATTGCCTATGCTTTCCTAAAATATGAAACTGGAATCCTTTACGCCTGGGACAGGAGATCAGGAATGGTAAGCACACTATATTTATTGGTTATATAGTCAGGTTATCTAGTCTGTAACATGTCTTTTATACCTAAATAATTAAGACACAAACACTAAACTGCACAGTTGACGCATACTTCGTTGTCTGACGTTTCAGTTGATGCATTGTTACATGTTAATCCTATGGAATGGAGCCCTGGAGAGAAACAATCGCCAGACTTAGCTACATAATAAATCTTTCCCTAGTTAAAAAAAAAAAAAAATTACAAATGCGCTGGGTTATAATTTCTTTAAAGGTCGAACATGATATCTGCAATTTGCACTGTTGGTCTGCCATCCGGAGTTGCAACATTTATTTCCTTAGGGTGGAACACCCTTAGCTAGTTATCCCCCCCCCCCCCACCCTAAAAGGGGGAGGGGGAGGCTAAAGAGATTATAAACTTTATATATAACTTTATTAATCTAGGTCCACACCAAATGAATATTATACTATATTTGTTGTGAAGAGAATGAAATCAAATGTGTACGTGGAAGCATCGGCGACCTGGATTTTTGTGGGGCAGAGTTGTGTCAATTCATCGACCTCACTCTCTCGCATGTATCCATCTAAGTCAAGTAGCAAGAGGAATGCAGGCCTCTGTAGATGGTTCCACAGCCTGTGGAGGACCAGAGCCTCTTCTAAGCATTTTCTTGCTTAAAGCTGACCACAAAGCGTGCTGACAGACAAATATTATCCGTTGAACCACAGGTCTTATCAGCGCAAAAAGGCCAAATCCATTTTTCAGCACACCAACAGCTAAGTTGAGTCAAGCTTTGACATCTTTAGCAGCCAGCGCAGCTTTGGAATATTGATGGTACCAGACACGTCATCATCATCCCGTAACACTACGTGTCGTTGGGTCACCAGATTCTGTTGACTGTCTTATTATCTCTCTCCACCTTTAGTGGTCAGTCGCAATGGACTCATGGTTGCATGCCGGAGTCCTGTCCAGTCAGTCAGGTTCTGTAACCAGGTTTTCTTTGATCTGCCTCTTCTCTTTCCCTCTACTGAGCCCTGCAGTATTGGTTTTGAGAGGCAGTTAGATTTTATTACATGTCCATACCATTTCATTTTTCGAATTGTCACTGTAGTTAAAGAGGTTCATAGTTGCAAATGTGCTGTATAATTGTATGGCGAAATTTCTCGTTTGTAATGTGGTCTCTGTATGATATGCCAAGAATTTTTTTTTGAAACATTGCATTTCTAATGCTTGTATCTTTCTTTCAAGTTCAGCTGTTTAGGTCTAGGTTTCATAGCCAGATGTAAATGTACCAATAGCTAGTGCTCTAAGCAATCGAATCTTAGTCATGCATGAAATGTTTTTAGATTTCCATAACGTTTGCTGCTTGGCAAGGACTGATGTTGTATGGGAAATCCCAGTCATAATTTCTGGTCTTTACCCCAAGTCATTTAAAATGGATCCTAAATATTTGAAATGCGTCACTTGTTCTAATTTGTAGCCTTTAACGTAGATTGGTGAAATTCCTGCTGGAATATTAGTCATTACTTTACTTCATTACTTACACTAAAGATTTTCCATTGGCTTTCGCTACGAACCCGGGGGCACTTCTCTTTACTCAACACCGACAACACACCAAATAGACTAAAAGGACTGGAACACCATCAATAAATCAAATGTGCTCTCTTTTAAATGTTGCAATGCTTACGTGTGTGTATTTTCTCTTCCAGTTACTGGCTTGGCAGTTGGCTGGCATCGCCGCAATCATCCTGTGGACTGGCGGTCTCAGTATCATCCTTTTTGGAGGGCTCAAATATTCAGGACTCTTTAGAGTGTCGCCAGAGGTAGAGAAAACTGGTAAGTGCGGGCATCTATGTTGCCGTTATCAGTGTGCATCACAGAGACGAATGCAGAGGTGAATAAGGAGAGAGAGAGAGAGAGAGAGAGAGAGAGAGAGAGAGAGAGAGAGAGAGAGAGAGAGAGAGAGAGAAAGCGTAATTATAAATACTACATTGTTAGAAAATATTCCTCCAGTGTGGTCTAATGTCCATATGCTTGGTGCCATTACTGCTGCAGAATCAGTTAAACAACTGAATCATGATAATTCCCATCTAGGTGATGTGATTATCCATACCGATGGCTCTGCTTTGAGAGGCAGAAGAAGTGCATGGAGGTTCATAGTAAAAGCGAATGGTCGACTCCTATCACAACAAAACCTGGCAAATGATATCACAATATATTGTTTGATAAAAGCCGAAAAAGCAGTCACTGCGGGCTTACTCTGGTGTGAGAATCAGCTGCATACACATGCTGTGATTATGACTCAGAAAGGTGGAGACAGATATGCTTTGTGCAGAGAGGCTCACATCGCTTCAGAAGTCCAAGGCAGTTACCTATATTTTCTCAGGGTATGTGTTGGAAAACAAACAGTTGACAAACGCTGGCTCTGCACCACTTGGTGGTGGTAAATTCTTCTTCTTCTTCTTCTTCGCGTTCACCAGCTGTACACTCTGGCAGAAAGTTCTGGTTGTTCGTCCACTTCTGGACTGCAGTCCTGCTCCAGAACCTGGGTGTTGCGTGTGCATGTTTTACAGATCTGATTCACTTGAATCAGAGACTGTGGGTTCCTTGCCTCTCAGGCAGATGCACTCCGACTTCAAAGGAAGCTCCCAATTAGTCGACTTCTACGACATGCTTGGGGGGGGCAGTGGGTCTATCCTTGTTTTCCCCACAATGGGGCCCCGGAACCCACACGGGGAGGTGGTAAATTGACGCATGATAAGCTGTATGTTGTCAAGGTATTCAGGGAGGCATATGCCAGTGTGGTGGCATACTTAAGACTATCACGGTCTCAATAGAATGGTGTAACGGGGAGTGACTGCCCGGTATTTCACATAAAGAAGAAAGGCAAGGCGGAATTACAATCAGACTAGTACTATCGGTGTTGGGACTTCGTTGGCTGCTGATGATAGGGACGGAACGCTTATGGGAATGTCTTGAGTGCTTTGATATCGGTTCTAAAAACCCAGGTGAACTCTTTTATTGCAAACACAAAATTCCTATTGTTTCTATAGGGAATTGGAATAAATTGAACCTGCCAAAAAGAGATGTGAGCCCCCCCCCCCCCACCTCATTTATCAGCAGGGATAATATACCCATTTACAGTACCCATGGCTCGGTCTCTTCCTACATACGGTTAGTCGCCTGCTGAAAGCGTCGCATACAAGCACGAACTTTGTAGCTCCAGTGACGATACCTAGAGATCTCCGAAATAGATTAGCTCAGTTTAATATTACTATAGAGTGTCATCTTTCTTGCAGGTTCCGACCTTCCTGAGCATGATGAAGCAGCATATCAGGTTGATATTACTTGTCTCAGCCACGACTTACAAATGAAATTGAACTATATTTTTGAGAATGTCAGCGTCCCACCGAAAATGTGTAAGTAGGCACAAAATAACCTTAAAATCATTCTTGTGATTGTTGTCTTTTCTTGATTTTCTCCCTGACATCCTCCTCCATATGCTCCTTATAATTCTCATTTATCACTTTATCATCAATCGTCCTCACCTTTGTCTTCGTTTCTTTTTCTTCATCATCTTCATCATCATCATCATATTCTTCTTCTCCTCCTCCGTCTCCGTTTCTCCCTCCTCCTTCTCCTTATTCTTCTTCTTCCTTTTCTTCTTCTTCTTACTTCTTCTTTTTAACTACTACAACTATTGCGCCGCTGCTGCTGCTGCTGCTGCTGCTGCTGCTGCTACTACTACTACTACTACTACTACTACTACTACTACTACTACGACTACTACTTCTACTACCAATACTACTACTACTGGCATTCAAGCAAGTTAATTTTAAGCTCTGTAATTGTGTATTTTGTTATTTAATTTTTTTTTAAACTTTTGTCTTAGCCTGTTTCTCTGCGTCACTAAGCAGATTTAGAAGATAATTTACTTGATCATTTCATAAACGGTAACTTCCCCAGTGTAACTATTATACAGTTGAAGCAGTGTTTAGAATAATGGCGCTGTGAGTCACTAGATGTATGTCTATCAGACAGGAGGGAAATCACTAAAAAAAAATTATAATAACTCGAAGAAATAAATAATCGTTCAATGCAAAACAATTTAGAACTAGACAGTACTCATTAAAAGACCAACTAACACGTTGGCTGTATTACTTCGAGTAAAGCTGCCCGAAATGCTCGGAACAACATACTGCACATACCAATAAGTCAATAAAACAGATGTACACGCAAAACTCCTGGCCCAAAGCAAAGGTCCAAACTGACGAACAACCAGGACTTTCCGCTGGAGTTGAAGGCCGGCGAACTGCAAACAGCTTTGATAATATTACGAATTTGAAAAATCACTGTTAAAGAATTGCCTGAACCAGCAAATAGAGCAATCCCATATTTTTGCTGACATGGAATGTTATTTATGATGCATACCAGTGGCCCTGAACCTTCCTAATGCCGCGACCCTTTGATAAAGTTCTCTCATATTGTGGCAACCCCCAAACAATAATTTTCCTTCATAGCTTCAATGAATATGTATTTTTCCATGGTCTTAGGCGACCCCTGTGAAAGGGTCGTTCGACCTTCCCCCCCCCCTACCTCCCCAAAAAAGGGGTCGCGACCAGCATGTTAAGAACCGCTGATATAGATTGTGAGATGTCTAGAATACCCACCGGGAGCCGCAGTGGTGTAGGGGCTAGACGTCCGCCTGTGGATCGGAAATTCATGGATTCGGGTCATGACTAAGTCAGACTTTTAACAAAAAATGACCCTGGCTCTCAGGTCGACCCAGCCTTGTGTGTGAACTAGGTAAACTCAAAGGAAGTAAAGACGGCGGAGTGTGCTGACCAGATCACCTATCAAATTTAGAATTTTTTATAAAATTTTTGAATACGCCAGAGGGCGTGGAAACTAGTCATTTTTAAATATCGATTCCTTTTATTGCTAGAAACTTCTTGTATGGGTGTCGATCCGCATTGCGAAGGGGGACAAAAAAGAATAGCTCTATTGTCCTCAAGCAAACCTTTCGCAGAGGTAAACTAACTAGGTTTTTCCCCCCTCTGAAGTCAGAGTGCGTCTGCCCTATAGACAAGGGACAAACAGTCTGTATATAAATAAGCAAGACCTGCAAAACGACTGAGCACAAAAATTCAATTCTGCTACAGGACTGATGTCCATAAGTAGACGAACAGCCAGAACTTTATGCCGGAGTTTACGGCCTGTGAAGAAGAAGATTCACAGTTCATTTGCTGATACTCACTTTTGACTACGTCGATCTGACTTTATTTTTTAATCACTATACATTTTTTCGGCATCTTTATAATTTTGAAAATTCTTAATGTCTTATGGCGTCTTCCTAATTTTCAGCATACACAAAAGACGGCAAGGAAGCAGCATACGATGCGGAACTAAAAGTCATGAACAATCTGCAGCCAACATTTGTTTCGTCGCCTGACCACGAGTCCAACCTGACACTGTCTTATAATCGACCACAAGCTCAAGTCAACGCAGGTTTCACTGAAGGAGTTGAGAGAACACCCTTGTAAACTGACATTTGGCACTTGCTTTCGGGGTTTTTCAACAAACTGTGTCATTGAAACCGTTACAACAGGTAATGAGCAATTCAAAGCCCATCTTTGAGCGGAGAAACACATCTGGATTGAAACTAGGACTTTACAACATAACAGTGACTATCAGGAATATAGTAGCAATACTTACTGTGTCATACATGTTCAATGTTGAGCAGTAGGCTTTACAATAGTAAGAGAACATAAAACGAAAATACTATAATCAGTAAATGTTAACGATGTTAATTTTATTGCAAATTGTGTTTAAATTGTTTTATTTTATTTTTTTTTTTTAAATCTCAAAAGGTGAGTTGCAAAATATCGCATAGGTAGCCTTGTGAGCTTACAGTGATTTATATCTCACTATATGCCTAGTAATTTCTCCTACCGACAAGTTATTGGTTAACCTCCTACAAAGCCATACATCTTTGAATTGCATGAGCAAAGTATGGAGCCAACCGTCAAATACCCAAATGAATTAGTTGGTAAATAATTCATAAGGAAAACGGCAAATGCATGATGGAAATTATACTGCTAGCACTGGTGAGTCAGATGTTTTATTCTGATCTCGTTAATTTCAGTTTTCGGTTAGTTCGACGTTAGTTTCCCAGACCTCGCCCATATATCCTGGCTCACTTCTGATTGGTTGTTCTTGAGCCCCGTGTCCTTCGCACACGGTTACTTGGGTGTTCTGCAATGCCGTTGATTTCGTGTGTTGTATATTTCTTCACACCAGCGCTTTTAACGCTAAAAAAAAAAAAACATAGAGAAGTTGGGTCTAACATAACCTCCCTAGAGAGTGTTGCTAACTACGTCACAGGCGTTCTCTTTCTTAGAAAATGAAGTGAAAACGTGAATGCAAGACATCGCAGAAACCAAACAACAGAGCGGGACACACCTGTAACCTTCATGAATGTCGACCAGCTCAACAAACTTGTGAATGAAAAGTTACCTACTCTATTTAGGGAGACTAACGTCGAACTTACCCGGCTTTCTTTTGCCCTGAATGAAATTCCTTGGCCTCTACCTCAACAGATCTCCTGTCCATTGACATTTGAGAGGTCAGTACTCTTTTCCCACAGGATCTGTCACTTGCCTTTTGGCAATCTATGATGCTCATCTGTTCATTAGGAGTGTCTGTTATTACCTGTCTCTGCATTCCAAAATGTGTTCGCGAAAATAAAGTGGATCCACAATTTTGTGATCTATTTTATGCTAATTTTATGCTCAAATCATTTGTAAGTGTCTTTTTGATATTGGTAATATAATCCTTTAATGACCTCGTCTTTTCCCATGCTGCGTAATCATTATTCCTTTTATAGCATTATTTACATTGTTCTGATAAAGTATGTTTGTATATTATCTACCCGGTTACCTACTGTCCTGGGCTCACCTCAGAAATTACATTTTCTTGTCTACACTAGCCATCAATGTGGCATCTGACACGCTGTTTTGTGGCTTACAGCGAAACCTTGATATCCTTCAGGTCAAGCAATTCGAGCTCAGCAAGTTCCCACTTAGTCGGCGTTTACGAACTCTCTTATTAGAGGGCTACTTCTCATCCCACCTCCTCCAAAATGTGGCCCCGGAGCCCATACAGGATAGAAACAATGGGAAACACTTAAACAGTTGAAATCTACTTTCGCATTTCTCGTGACCAAAATCAAATGAAAAATCCTTTCTGAATCTATTCAGCACTTTAAGTGTTATGTGTATGGATGTATCCTTCCGTGATCTAACTTCTACCTGTTTAGACTGTATGGTGACCTGGGGTTTCATATCTATACAACTACTATGCCTGTACCAAGCCGCGAACAGCTTGTCCTTTGAATGCTAAGTATGTTCAGTCCATATTGTTTTTATGTTTAAATAAACCTCATTCTTGTAATTCCACAGAGCTGTTGATGTAATATTGCTTCGGTGTTATAGTTAATATAATACTTTATTTTAATCGGATACGGTATTGAATATCCCGTAAATTATGATGTTCGCTACAATAATTTTAACATGCCCCTGTTTGCTGTAAATGTATGGACTGAAAATGTTAAATGGGAAGTAAAGTAAAAACACCATAACTAAACCAGAAAAATACAAAATATGGAATGATTCAGCTTAACAAGAACATTATCACAAGTGACAGGCTGAACACTGCAGCTTGGAAGCTTCATCAGCGAAAGAGTTTGGTAACCGTCATCCTAGAGATATGATCGATTGGTCCTTCTTAGTCAAAGTGCAACTCGCTGTAAAAAAAAAAAGATCTGTAAAATGGACCCACATGTCCTGGAACAAAGCATAAGCCCTGAGAAAATTTACAACTGATGAACGTAAAAGGACACACTAACATAGTTACACTGGTTTGACAGTCCATTCCATTTTTGGGATAAATGGAATATCAAACCAATGTAACTGTACTAGTGTAAACGGGGTCCTCCGATTAAACTAGGGGTACTGTTTTGATTATCAGAACAATGAAAATAATCTGCGTACACAACAACAACAGTCTGGGAAAGTGAGCAAAAAAAAAAAAATCATGTTAATGCTTTTTTGTTCGATCTAAACGGAGCGTTCCTTTGATACTGCATGGCAGAGTGTAAATAAATGTCAACAATGTATAAACTGAGTGTCCGTCGCATGGACTAGTCTTTCATAACGATGCATGGCCCTACATATTTCACGAGTGAAGGCAAATGGTCTCATCTATAGTCTTTACACACTACGACTGTAACCAATAGAATCAGTCGTATGTTTTGTAAAGTCTTCACGATCTTCGTATGTTTGTATTTGTTTAAACTGAGATGAAATATATTTGGTGTTGCAGCGAACAGTTTCATTTCACTTGCACTTTTTTTTTAAAACTGCATATCCTTACCACACAGGGCTACACGTTACATTAGTTTAGTGGTGTAGCCTGTAGCGTTGCCCTGATCATAACTTCCTTGAAAGATTAATGGGGTGTCTGGGCTTTCCCCTTTTAGGATTATCATGTAGGATACGATTTCACCAAAACGCACACGCCGTGTGATTAATTCACCCAGATAGGACAAGATCAACTGTTCTAAGCTCGTGGGAATACTGAGGTGGAGATCGGAGCACCTAAGGATCTGTCCGGAGTGCCGTGATAAAAATCCTTAGTAATCACTAATCTAGGATGCGACTCTTTGAGTCACACACAGGTTAGGTAACCCCTAAGTAGAAGTCTGAATGGGGAAATAGAAATCAGTCAGTTTAATTACTGCAAATACTCAACTCCGAACAGCCATTGGTCATAATAATCTCTTCATAAGTTTGACATTACTGAGATAATGTTCATATTCTTTCAGAAGTAGTTAATTATAATATGGAATGAAGGTTCTACTTATGATTTCTCCTTAAAAAATTTATATATAACTGTATATTATATACATATAATGCACTGTTTAAAATGTTTTGAATCAGTGATGTAGCAACGGAGAAAGACAGGGAAATCCATCTCATGCTTTATATTCAACATGTACAGACAGAACATTTACTGACATATAACTATCATAAAATGAATGTGTACTTGGAAAAATAAATTTGCTTCATCACTGTTCTCGAATAGCAATGAAATTTATTATTATCAATTACAGTTCTCATTAATTCATTTATAGGGCATAAATTAAAATATAATATAACTATAACATAGCCCTGCCTGGGCAAAATTTAGAGTTAAAAATCTGCCAAAAGTATTTCAGGATCCTTGCTGGTGCTAAGGAGTTCGTGCTAAGGAGTTCGTGCTCTGCGCTGAGATTCTTTTAACTCAGGCTTGAGATGGAAGTAGAACGGAGCACCAATGGGCTACTACTATTGTGTGATGATGTTGATTCGTTGTACAAACCACCATAACTATTTGTAAAGAATACGAGTCAGAATGAGCTTGCAATGTAGAATATAAATTTAAACAGCTAGTGCTAGGTATGAAATATGCAATTTCTCATTTAACTGACCCTATAACAATTATGGCAGATGACTCCTGCTGTTAATTTTGGATTTTGTGTTAGCTTTTAAGAAACAAGACGCGAAAGTCAAAATACACTGTATCTGTGAATGTAAACATTTGTATGTATTTACGAAACGAATCTGATTTTGTCTGTAATTGCCAAATACATCTCAAGTTGTCTCATTTAAAATGCTTATTGTTTGTCTCATATATTGCTTGTCACACACTTCGGTTTGTGTGTGGGGGGGGGGGGGGAGAAACTTATTTTTTTTCCCTCTCTAATTTCTTGTTTAGCTTCTACGTTAGCCCTTTAAAAGGAATTCGTTTGTGGTTTACAGCTCTGCTAAGTCTGCACTTTTCAGTCCAACACTTCTTATTTCAGCCAACTCTATATTAGTTGCCTTTCACGACATGTTTGTCTTGCTATGGTTTCGACTGTGGTACCGAGAGTTGACCGTGCAAAAAGCAATAGCAAACTACTAGACGTAAATTTGCCTAGAAAAACCACAACAGCCAGAAAGTGCTGGTGTTGGTTTTGCAACATCTTGTAAAGGATACGCAACTAATTTAAGTGAAACTCTACTAGAACAACTGTGAGTGGCTGGTGGAAAACTCTTTTGTTTGGGGGGAACCATAAGTCCCGGTATCGTCGGGACCGCATCGTTTAAAAAAAAAATAGGTCCAGAAGTCCCGTCGATGCTGTACGTCGATTTGAACAATCACATTTGTGTTGTTTTTGAGTACGGTCTTGGCCTACCTATAAAAAACGATATGGTCACCGCATGTTTGCTCACGTCTGTTGCCGGAACAGGTGCATTTCATTCCTGGCATTACTTCTGTAGAGGTACAAGATAACAGTCAGCGAATACTGGAGATAAGGACAACAAAGATAGGACTTGATTACCTATCATCTTTAGATGTAGCCTAGAAAATGTTACGATTTTACGCTTCACAACTTGATTTCGAACATACTTATGAAAAGATCAAAAGCAAGTATTCCAAATATGCAGTGAAGACTATA